CGGGGCGGGGGCTGCTCGTCGGGGGAGCCGTGGCCGTGGGCGCCGGCGTTTTCCTGGGCTGGGGAAGCGGAGGGGGTCTGGAGCCGAGGGCCCTTCCCCCCGGTGGAGCGTGCTGCCTTATACAACGCTTTGCAGTGTCACCAGCCCGGGCCCGAGCCCCTCTGTGTAGCCAGATCGTCTGTTTACTCTGTCATCCTGCTTAAAACCTGGCCAAGAGGTCGGATGGCACCGACCCGCCGCCTAACTGGGGCTTTGGCTCCTCGAGTTTACACAAAATAGATGCTTGCAGACTTCTAGGACTTGGGGAATCACAGTGATGTTTTTCTTGCTCGCTATTGGAGGCTGTTCTCCCTACCCACCCAGCGGAGAACTGATCATTCCTTTGCCTGCCTGGTTAGTAAACACTGATGTCATTCCCCTCTTGTGTAATCATTTTTGTCTTCTGTTTGTGTACATTGGTCTTCAAACTATGTATGTGGGGAGGGGGAGAGGTAGTAGTGTGAGTCTTTCTCAGTAACTGCACAGTGAAAACAAAAGGAAAAGCTCCAGTGCTCATAGTGTAAGGATTCTTTGTGGTGGCAGTGCAGGATTGTATATTCTAGTTCTCTGAAAAGCGTGCTTTAAATTGTTGGCTATATGTAGAAACAGATCCCCACTGTGTTCAGACCATAGTCTTTTAGATCAAAATGTGAGAGAGTTCAAATGCCATCGGGACTTACATTTCTGTTCTTTCCCAGGTCATGGTAAAAATCACAAAGATGCTGCCTCAGTCAGGGCTACGCACCCTATACCTGCAGCCTGTGGCATTTATTACTTTGAAGTGAAGATCGTCAGTAAAGGTAGAGATGGGTAAGTGTCATATTTGAATCTGACGGTTGGTGATGTGTATTTAGCAGTTCTGCTGTACTCTGACCTCCTTTCCGGAAGGGGTAGAGGTCCCATGGCTGTCAGGTGTAACAGGCAGGTACATCACGGGGAGGTTATATTCTCTTGGTCAATAGATATACATGTGGTAGAATGTGCTGGAAGTAGAGGCACTTCCCCAGCTGCTTTCTGTGCTGTTTGATATGGGCAGTTTAAAAAATTTGGGAAACTTGGGGTCTCTGGTGCAATTTGAATGAAAATAGTTTTTCCTCTTGCTAGCTAGGTCTGGTCACTCAGATTTCTGGAATTATGATGCTTCACAAGTGGAGTGAAACAGACAGGAGGAAGCTTGAACTTAATTTTGGCCAGTTAGAGAGATGTTTGCATAGAGAAAAGCAGTCACAGCAGTACTTGAGCACTGGAAGGAGAACTTCTGAGGCTGTTTTTTAGAAACCCTGTATGCATGACCAAGGAAAAGATGTTCAAAGAGAGGGAAATGAGGTGATTGTGAATATAAGCCAGAATCTATGCTACGTCTGTCGTCTCTAGTCTAGGACCTGAATTTGGACGCAAGTCATTATCTCAGGAAAGGTTGCACCACAGAGTATCATGACAGATAACAGCTATGGGAGCTTGGGAGGCTGTGCTGGAACCAGAATGCTAAATATGAGAAGGTTTTTCCTGACCAAATAATGATTTTTTTTTTTTTTTGTGGTAGCATTTAATACTGTAGGCTGTTGTTGAGACTGCGTTTGCCCTATAGTGGTCTATACTACTTTGAACAGTAGCAGGTGGAAGAACTGCAAAAGCAGCAAATCCTATCGGTAGCGTTAGATGCAGCCATACTTTACTAGGCGGCACCTCAGTGAACTGAACCGGCAGTGGGGTTTTGGATCTCATCCAGTCTTGCAGCCACTGTATTGGGCATTATTTTGATCCAAAATGTAACTGAACCAGGATGTACTTGGAGTTCCCTATTCAGGATGCTGGGAAATGTGGGAAAGCAATAGAGGGGCCTTTCTAACAAGGTCTGGGTTCCTACTGGTAGTGTAGATTTAATTTTTAATCAGGATAAAGGTATTATCCTGCTCTGTGTGTGTGTTTGGCATTTTTCATTGCTATAGGATGAATATTGCAGATATACTGTCCAGGAGGGAAAGCCGCACGGGAGATGGTATTGAACGTAATTAATTGATCCAGTCCTTCAGGAATAACATTTGAACTCTGGCCGGTTTAGGGGTGTTAGGGAAGGGCAGAAAGCTTTCCCACTAAAAACCAAAGTCGTAACTTCTTACTGTTGAAATTTTTTGCTCTTGTTGGATTGAGGAGTGGCCCATTCGTAAAGTCACTTGCAAAGATCTTGAATTGTGCTGCATTTAGGCCTGCAATGATTATTAGGTTCTCTGTGCAGAGATGGATGCGGGGCTGAATGCTTTACAAATCCAGTGGAAAGACCATCTTTATTCTTTCAGTTCACTGACTTGGCAATTAACTGCTTATCTGTTTTGAAACCCTGCACTTGGTTAGTTTATGTAACCGCTAAAATTAAAATAATTTACAGTGAACTTCAAGACAAAGAAATCACATCATGAAAGGTCACTGAACAGCACTTAATCCTTACTGCATTCTAGACCAGTCTTACGGGGAGATAATGGAATTTGCTGCTTGTTTCCCAAGATCAGTTTTCTATATTAATAGTCCATTGTTGTTTTTACTGTATTCTGTAATTACAGTTACTTTCCAGGAATACTTTCAAAGATATGCAACCATTTGTATTAACATTATAGCAATACAGATGTGAGATGTTGACAGCTATGAGCCGAAGTCAGAGCAGCGGTGAGCCTTTGAGAGCTTCTCTGGTGTCTCAGCCGTTCCCGTGCCTTGTTTTTCTTTTGCTGGTAGAGAGACCTCTGTTTTTTATCTCGCACGCTGTGGTGCTGGGGATTTGTAATTGTGAATTTATATTGTAGCTGCTGCCTGTCTGTCACTTCAGAAGGTACTCTTGTGTGTCTCGTCTTTAATAGTTCCAAGTCTGCCCATTGGAGCCTCGGTGTGTTGTAATAATGAACTGCGGCAGAGACATCTCTTCTTAGGAAGCTCTCCAGTGTTTGTTACACCATGGTGGCTTCAGTTTAAAGGAATAAAAGTCCAGAAATCTACAGAAGGGATTGGAGGGGATGAAAGGAAGTTTTCAAGTGGCAAAGCATGTCTGCACAAACTCAGCTGGAAGCCCTTTAGCAAGGGGAGAGGAAGGGGAACCTTTCTGAGCTCATTTCCAGAATGGGTAGCTTGTTATTTTATTTGTGCTGGCCAGAGTAGGGAGGTAAGGACTGCGTGATGTTACTCACTGTGTCTCTCTTGCTGGAGTTTGTGATAGCTTTTCACATGTAGGTTTAAAATGTGAACAGTTGGGGTTCAAAACAAGACTTACTCAAAGGATACTTTGGTGGAATGAATTTCAGGAAGTGTGCTTTCAGTTCTGATTGATTTTTGCTCAGTAACTCAAAGCTGTCATCTTTCTGTGCTAATAAATTGTTTGTCTAGTGCTCTACACTGTGGTTAGATGCTGACAGTTGCTAATAAACTACAGAAACTAAGGTTGCAGGTAAGAAGTGGAATAGAAGGTCCCAGTGGCTTTTACTGAAGGTGTAAGAACCCTGAAGCTCATTGCAGCCTGACGAGGTGTTACCCGTATGTGAATACGCTCTGATAAGAGGATTCTTGAATTGGCATCAGACAGTGCCAGTTCTGGATTGGCAGTGTCACCGTGGTAGAGGAACCTGAGCTATAGAGACAAGTGAGGTATTGGTACCACCTTTTAACTTCTCCCTTCTGTTACTTTCAGGGGGATAAGGCGATTTAAATGCGGTACGCTGTGGTGCCCTCCTTTGTTTCCTCCCACCACGTTGTATCCTAGCAGTAAAAACATGCACCTTCACCTCCCCCTGTTTTTCAGGCAGATTACTTCTCTGCTCAGTTCTGCAAACCCCAGTGCCAGCGCAGGGAAGGAGGGAGCGACTGCAGCAGCATAGACACAAGTTGCTTTAGACTGCCAAGGCACGGCACCCACAGCTGGCAGAAAAGCTCTTTTGCATTGCCTTTCTCCCCTGCCCTTTAATGCACCTGCTCCATAAAGGTGCTTTTGTTAAAGCAGCAAATGAAGTGATTTATGAAAACTCGGCCTTTACCATCACTAGACTTTTCTTGCCTCAGCATGGGTAAAATCTGGCTTAGTTTACTGGCAGGTATTTCAAAGCAAGTACAGCATGCAAAAAAGTCCATTTGGTGCACTTAAGAAACTTTTAAGATGTCCCAGGTTTTGTTAGCTTTGGATCTTCCACTGCTCATGCACCGAGATAGAACCACAGTCCTTTGAGCTGAAAAAAGATGATTGAGACTTACTTTTAGCTGAATGGTGGTCATTTCTCATCCTGGTGGTTTTAGTCTTTATTGATATGAGGTCATGTTTATTTATTGGGTTTTTTTGTTGTTGTTTTGGTTTGGTTTTTCCTGGGAGAGGGGAGGCTGCCAGGCTACCATTGAAAAATTATCTTGCCAAGGAGGCCAGGTAACACACTAGATCTGTCAGGAGGTTGATCTGTTGTTTGTCGCTGCTCTTTGGGGACATGGCTCTTGTCCTCAGAGAGTAGAAGAGAATTTAGTTCCAGCCCTCTTCTCACCTCCTTGTCTGCGCTGAACACACAGGGAGTGGTTCCATGACGCTTTAAGATGATACAAGACAAGGCTCTGGGATTCTGCCCTTCCACTTGCCATAAGCTTCTGTGCCTTCCCACAGTCTGCTACCCGGTCCTGTGGTGAGCTGGTTCGAGGAGATAGCTGGTTGAAAGCTGGCCACATCAAAATAATTACGATGATTTAATCTATTGACGTCATTGTCAGAAATTGCTGCTTTTTTTTTTTTTTTAATTGAGGACTATTTTTCAGGGTTCTGCTCTCTGAGGTGGGTTGAAGGCGTGTCAATAAAGGGATGGGCTGAGCTGGGAGAGGGAAGGGTGTGATGGCAGCAACCCTCATTTACTGCCATTCAAAGTGGTGTTGAACAGTTTTGTCTTAAGACTTGCTGGGTACTTAATTCCTGAGCCATTGTGTGCGTGTCTCCCCAGTGTTGTCAATTGGAACAAAAGGGCAAGAGGCAATGGGTCACAAGTTGTGGCAGGGGAAATGCCAGCTGAATGTAAGAAAGAATTTTCCTTGGGAAAATGGTTAAACAGCTGAACAGGATGTCTGGATAGGCTGTGGCATCTTCATCTTCAAATGTGCCTGGGCAAGGGCCCAGGCTGCCTGATACAACTTTCAGAGCTACTTATGCTTTGGGCAGAAGGATGAAGAAGGAAGGTCCCAAGGTCCTTTCCGGTGCAAATCTCTGCATGGTTCTGTGAATGGCTTGCTTCCAGCATTCCTCAGATGAGCAGACTGGCAGAAACGTACGTGACTCTTATGTTCCTGAGCTGCCACAAATAACTCGTGCTTTTATCATGGTGATGCTTGTAACAGTTCAGCCTTAACTATATTTGAAGCACTGGACTCTTACCCTCTCTCTCAAATACGTGTTTCAGTTTGCTGCTGATTTGTCAGCCCATCTCACAGCTTCTGCTGTCCCATTAGATGATCTCTGCTGGTAAACAGGAACAGCCTAAGACTCATCAGGGTAGGGCAGCCAACCCACAACTCACAGCCTGTTGTGACTCAGGAGGACAATTCATCTTTGTTGTCCTCTTTATGCTGGGGCAAGGTGAATTGTCTCATGGGTGACGGTACTTGTTCCTCTCCACTGTTTTGGTTTCTTGACCTGTTTTTACCTCCCGCAGCCATGCAGTGGGTTGTGAGGGAGTGCGACTGGGAGGACATCCCGGAGGCTGACCCTGATTGCGCACAGATTCCTGTTTCTAGCAAAAGTCACCTGTCTGGCAGCCTCCTCTCCCATTTGTGAGCTGCTCCTGGGAGAGACAGCCCAGCAGCCTGTG